GGCCCAGAGCAATGGAGCCATTTGCCAAAGGTCATGCAGCACTTGAATGGAGAGATCTGAACCTGGACTGCATTTGGCCACAGAATGTGCCCCAAACTCTTCCCAACACTGCCCCAGCTCCCTGGTTGGCCCTCATGGACTCTTCACCTGCTATGTTCATGGAACCTCCACCTGTCTGGCCCTCTTCACCACTGTCCATGAGCCTAGAGACCTCCTGCTGTTGCTATAAATACACTATCAGCTGGCATCTGTGCCTCTCACCCTGCAGCCACCCTCCCTACATGGACAGACATGGGGTACACCTGGTCACTCAGCCCCAGGAGAAATGCCAGGCTGCTTCAAGGAGCCCCTCACCCCTCCGCTGCCCAGATACACGGAGAGGTGGCCAGGGTCTCAAAGCAAAACCAGGATATCCCTACCTCCCTCCTAGGGCTGGAAAGAGGATCCAGGACAGAAATGAACACTTCTTTTTATTTATTTATTTATTTTGGGGGCAGTTTTTGGCTGGGGCTGGGCTTGAACCCGCCACCTCTGGCATATGGGGCCAGCGCCCTACTCCTTTGAGCCACAGGTGCTGCCCAGAAATGAACATTTATAGACTGCCTCCTGTATGCTTTTCAGGGACCACTGACTCCAATCTTCAATGTCATAGGTATAGTTCTCATTCTCCCCATTCCACACATAGAAAAACTGAGGCTCAAAGTCATGTCCATCACGCCAGTTGTGTCCATCACACAAATGGGCTCCACCATATGTTCTCATGGTCACACTTTGTCCCGTCAGCAGGCCACAGGTGCTGGGGTGAAGACCACTGAAATCAGAAGAGGCTGGGAGGCCTTGCTCCCAGACTGAGCCTCTTTCCCCTGCCATCAAGTCCCAGGCATGCTTTATGGAGACTCAGGCCCCAGACTTGGACACTGTAGGTGCTTGAGCACGGCTTACCCCTGTCCATTCCTTCAGTTACTGTGTACTTAGGGCCTGCTTTTATCATCTGCATGGCTTGGGGGGTGTGGTTTCCATCAGAGAACCTCAGTGGGTATTTTTTTTGTTTATTTTGTTGAAGAATTTTCAATCCTTTTTCTTTTTGAGGGTCCCTGCATTCTCATTCCAGTTCTGCCTCTTAAGAGCTATGTGACCTTGGGCAAGTGATTGCCTATCTCTGGGTCTTTGCTTCCTTATCTGAAACATGGGAGGAGGTAAGAGCCCCTTCCTCCTGGGGTGGTAGAGAGAATTATACTGGTTAAGATGCCAAGCCCTAAGCCTGGCAAGCACAGAGTGTTCAATAGTGTTTGCTGTTACTATTACCTCTACTGGTATTATTTCCTTCCAATTTCATCCAGGAGGGGTTGGGGACCTCCCCTCTCCCCAAGTTTCTCTGGCCACCCTATTTAGGACACCCCCATCCCAAACAACCCCTTTAGCAGCTACAAGCTTCCTGGGCCGGCCCCTGCCCTGGACTGTGGACGAGTGGTTGGCACCACACAAGGCGGGAATGAGAGGCTGGCCCCATGGTGGCGGCATCAGCAGATGGGCACCATCTGGGCTGGCGGCTTGGGACAGGCTGGCAGCTGCTGGGGCGGGCGGGCCTGGCAGCCCCTCCCCTGCCTGGCCCTGGCACAGTGCCCACCGGCGCCTCAGGTTTCTCAGGCCATCAGAAAGGGAGGGGAGGCCTGGCTGGGCTGCACGCCCTAAAGAGGCAGGCAGTTTCCCTCTCTGGGCCCTGGTTCCTCCAGGCTCCTTCCCAGAACAAGGCCCCCTACCTCAGCTCTACTCATGCCCTCTAGCACTCCCTGTAGGCTTCACACTCTTCCCCCATTGCAGCCTCAGGGCCTTTGCACTGGCTATACCCCCCTGCCGGGTATACCCTCACTCTACTCTTTCCACCTCCAGCCTTCATTTCTGAAGTCACCTCCTCTGAGGGACTCTCCCCACCCAAAGCAGCCCCTCAGCTCTTCTCCACATCTCTCCCCTGCTCTATTTTCCTGTCACCACCTGACATCGTTATTCTCATGTCCCACTCAATTGCACATGGCCTCCACCAAAGTGCAGGCCTCCACTGATGCCCTAAAGTAGAGCTCACGTCCCTCCATCATGGGCCCCAAAGCTCTCCCCTAGGTCATCCCCAGGGCAAACACCACAGTCCAGGCCCCCTTGTGGCCACAAAGGTGCCAGATGGATGTGGGGGTAGCCAAATTCTGTCCCTGGAGATGCCCTGAACTCTGACCACTGGCAGCACCAGAGCTAAAGGGACCTTGTCAGGGCTTCTCCCTACTCCTCTGTCCTTCAAAATAAACTCAAAGATGGAAGCCTTGGCTTCTCCTGTAGGCCCAATCAATCCACCTGACAACCCCAGGATAGACAGGGAGCCTGAGAGTTGGGGTGAGGGCAAGTTGTGCTGAAGACAGGGAGGACCTGTGTGTACATCTCTTCATGTTTCCAAGGCTCCCTGTCTTTCACAGTCTCTGTCTGTGTCTCTGTTTATACATTTCTGTTAGCTCTGAGACCCCACCTTAGGTCACGATTATCTGTTGCAATTCTGACATCAGAGGGGGTGCCTCTCTTCAGTATCCATCTTGCCTTGGGAGACTTGACAGATGGAGGAGGCCAATTGTGGTGGCCAATTCTCCTTGCTGTCGTACTAACAACTACTAGCAGTTAAGCAGGGGTCCAAGAACATGGGACCCAGCTGGGAGGTAGCCAAGCCACGCCAACTGGATACCTATTTTACCCACCATGATTTATCCCCATCCTCTTCTCCAACATCAACAGTAGCCTGGCTAAGGGAATGTTAGTGACACAGCTGAGGCAGAAGCTGCCTGAGTCCAAATCTTATCTCTGCCCTCTCTCAGCTATGTAGCCTCAGGCAGGTCAGATCACTTCCCTGGGGCCTCTTTCCTCATCTGTGAAATGGGTACAACAATGATCCCTGCTTGCAGGGCTCCTATGAGCAATGAAAAAGAATTGCTAAGCCCTTGGGAAAATGCCTGACAGAGAGAAAGTGGGACTAGGATCTGGGGGTTTGAAGCATGAGCAGGAGTTTTCCATATGGGAAAGGCATTCCAAGCATAGACAAAAAGGCCTGGCACTGGGAATCCTTAATCATCAGGGGGAGGACCTTAGCTTTGTGCCTGGCGCTGATGACCCCATGAGGGTTATCTGTTGAGTACTTTTCAAGGACACCCAATATTCCCTATAAGGTGGCCATTCTCAAGTTCCCATTTTATAGAGAAGGAAATGAGGTACAGAGAGGGTAAGTAACTTGTCCCACATCACCCAGTCAGCAGGCAGCTCTCATCCTGACCCTTATGCCCAGGGAGCTGGGGTGCAGCCAGGATGGGGAGGTGGTGGGGTGAAAAGTGTGGTCCACTGGCATCAGTTGGGTCAGGGACATCCCTGGGGAATGATGGAGTAGGCTGGACTGGAAGGGAGGGAGGATACAAAGGCAAAGGTGTGGACACCAAGGTGTCTGGGAGGCCCACAGGGCTGCTTGGCCTGCTGAGCTGAGGGGGAGGGGGTTGGCTGGGGGAGGGGAGGTGCCTGGAGATTGTGCTGACTGCAGCAGAAAGCAGCTTCAAAATTTTATCAGCTCAGCGTGGAGGAGGTGGGGGTGGGGCCAGGAGCAGCGAATGGATGAGGTGGGAGAGGGAGACCTGGACCTGCATGGTAACGAGAGCCAGAGCCGCAGGGCTGCCCTCCCTATGACAGACTATCACCTTGTACACCTCTCTGCCTCCACTGTGACCCTAAATGCCGCTTCACTTCCAGCCCCTGCTGGGTTTGTTGCTCCTGGGTGGCCATAGGGGAGGGGGTAGATGCTAAGGTCAGGGTCAATGATTGAAGTTCAAGACTGAGTAAGGCTCTGCCCTGCTCTCCTTCCCTCCCACACAGCCTGGAGATGGGGAGCCCTTGACCTTGTCTAATCAACACTAGACCAACACTGCAGCTATGTTATTCCTGCTGTACCAAGAAGAAAACCGAGGCATAGCAAAAGGGATAGCAGGGCTACATCTGGAGCCTAGACAGTCTGGCCCCAGGGTCCTGCCCTGCCCCCAGTTCCTGCACATGCCCTTTCCTCCCAGGCTGGGAAACCAACTGTGTTCATGTGGGGGCTGCCAGGGTGGGGGACCAGGGCTGGGTTTGCAGCTCATGTGTGTCTGTGTTGGGGCACCATCTGACACGCTCCCCCAGCATGTGCCAACCCTGGCCTGAGTGGGTATGGCTAGGGAGTGGTGTGTGCCCATTCAGGTCTCTGGGGGCACTTGATTCTGTCCACATGAAGACAGTCCTAGCAGCAGATGCTCTCCTCATGAAAGGCTGGTATTCATCAAAGCTCCAGCAAGTTTGGGATGCTGATAACCTCCACGTGGAGGAAACTGCGGCCTGATTGGGCTACTCAGCCAGGAATTGGCAGAGCAACAAACCCCACTGCCCTCTCAACCTTGGCACAAGGACCTGTGACCTTGAGAGGCCAAATGGCACCTCTGGCCTCCCACCTTTGCCCAGCTTGCCCTGCCACTGGTGATATCCCCAGGTCTGCTGCTACCTAGTCATCCTGAGCTGAGCTCAGCTGTGCCCCCTCTGGGAAGCCACCATGGATCCCTCCCACTGTGCACACACCCTGCTGGTCTCAAGATCAGGCATTTGACTACCAGCAACACCTGGCTGGAAGGGCTGGACCCACAAGACCTAACTACTGGCAATGTCTGAAAGTCAATCAACAAGCAGTCACAGAATGCAACCCCAAGAATCCCTCAGCTTTCCTCAGAAGGCTAAGATTTTCATCTCTCTGTTTTCCTCATCTGCTCCCAACAGCACCATATCCTACCCCTCAGACCTTCTTCGACAGTCTCACTCATCCCCTGAGACTTCAAGGATCTGCCACCTTCATCAGACATGAAGGTGCGAACCTGCTTCTGCCTTTAGATCCTCACAGCCAACCAGCCTCCGCCCTCAGACTCTCTCCCGCCCCACATGGCGCCCTAACCCCACGATTGCCTCACCTCTCTCACGCACAAAGTAGGCCAGGTAGAGGTCCAGCTCCTTGACTGCCACACCAATGTGATGTGGCTGCACGCAGAGTACTGGGTGGCCACACTGTGCTGCCTTGACCAGGCGCTCGCCATCGGTGCTCTCCAGAGGGATGCCCTTGAAGAGGATGACCATGACAAGGTCCAGCCGCCACACCTTGTCGGCCTGTCGCAGGCAGTCAATGCGCCGCATCTTGCCCTTCTGGTCAGGGTTGGAGAGCACACAGCCTGGCGCCTTCTTGCCGGTGATGGCCAGCACGAAGTCCTCACGGCACTCCGGCCGGATGTCTTTGCGCAGCTTGGCCAGCAACCTTGACGCCCACTTCTGCTTGACCTCAGGCTTCTCGCCCAGCAGCTCATCCTTCACTGCCCGCTCCTCGTCTTTCGACATCCGCTTCTCGTGTTTCTTGAAGTACTTGCGCTTCCGCGCTTGCAGGTTGAACCAGGTATAGGCGAAGGCGCGGACATGAGGCAGTAGGGCCTCGATGAACGGGTGGAACTCATCCTGCCAGCAGAGAAGGGAGAGGTCAGCAGGAGGTGGGGACATACTGCTCTGCCTGAAAAGACTGAGGCCAGAGGGGGCCTAGACTAACCCACCAAATGCGGAGTAGTGCTGGGCAGATGTGGGCAGGGGGGCCACAGCACACCCATCCACCCCCCTGGGGAAAACTGAAGGCCAGAGGTGACTCGGCAGTGGGGAACCTGTAAAAACTCATTGCCTAGCTGAGGAAACTGAGGCTTGACTGTGTGGAAGGTGCAGGCCAAAGCAGAAGTTCATGGTGAACCATCTTGAACTCCATTATATAGAAAGAGGAAGCTAAGGGTCCCAAATAGGCTAATGGAGGACCCATTGTTTGGATGGGAAAAACTGAGGTTGGGGGAATGGGGATGTCATGCACCCATTCTTTGCCTAGTAGAACTGGGGTTGGCATACTTTTACTCTAAAGAACCTGTCAGTGATTAAGTTTTGTGAGACATCCACTCTGTCAGCAACTATTCAGCTCTTCCTATTAGTGCAAAATTAGCCATAGAGATGTCAGTGATGTGTGGCCATGTACCAATAAAACTTTATTTGCAAAAATGTGTCAAGCATTCAGCCCCGGGCTGTCGTTTGCAAACCCCTTATGGTGGAGTGTGAGCTGTCACATCCTCAAATGCCTAGAGCAGGGCTGAGCATACACTGTCTATCAATGAATGCAGGAAGAACCAGAGATGGAAATACTGAAGCCCATGGAGGCTCTGAGACCTGGCAGAGCTGGGGCACCCCCTCCCATTATGTCTAACTGGTGGCTAAGGATGGCCATAAAACCCATTTTACAGATGAGGAAACTGAGGCCCCAAGAGGGGACCCAGCTATGAGGAGCAGCAACCTCAGTCAGGCCCCTCAGAGAGCTATAGAAGGGTAATAGCCAGGACCCTGTCCTCCTGTATGTGTAGGATGTGGGGGACTGGTCCCACCTCCACATTGTTCAGCAAGGCAGACAGAATCTGGAGAACACCTGGGACCTTTCTCAGCCTCAAGGTGGGAGAAATTCGAGGAGAAAGAAGACAAAGGTAAGAAAAACTTCCTTCCCACCCCCTTGCCCTTGGCTGGGCTGGGCTGGGCTGGGTTTCTAGATGGGGTGATACCTCCTTCCAGCACACAGACCCTATTATCCTCCTCATGCTCTCAAAAAGCTGTATTATTATTACTACCACAATTATTGTTATGATTTGCATTGCTATTATTACTTTTCTTACTATTGAAGTATTGCTGTTATGATTACTTCCACTGCCCACAATCTGCCAGGAGGCAGAAAAAAGGCCTGAGGCCCTACTACTACCTGCTGTGTGGTAGGGAAACTGAGGCTCAAAGAGGGGCAGAGACCCAGCCAAGGTCTCATGGGGTCTCAGGGCCTGTGTGAGGATAAGAACCAGAACCCTGACTGCCCTGAAGGCCATCAGCCCTACTCTCAGCACAGCCTGTTCTCCCAAGGCTGGGGGCTTCTGGAGAAAGAAATAGCTATTTTTGACCCCAGCCTATCTTCCAGCTAGGAACACATAGCACCTCTGCCCCTGAAAACCCTCCCTGCTCTGTGCTCCATTTCCCCTTGGGCCACCTCTGGCCATGGGGTGCCACAGGGCGGGAGCCGGAACATCAGATTTCACCTATTACTGAGGCTCTGAAAATAGCCTCCCACCTGGTGAGACCAGGGTGAGGCAGGACGGGGCTCAGTTTGTGCCAGCCCAGCTCCCCCACCCAAATGTCCCCCAAAGCATGAGTCATCATAACAGCTGCATATGGAAGTGGACCAGGGAGCCCTTTTCTACTGGTCCCCCCAGCCCTAAGCTGACCTGCTAATACAGACAGAGGATGTGGGGGCAGGGCATCCCAGTGCCCAGCCAACCTCGTCCTTTCCTGTCCCTGGATGCTGATCGACATCCAAGACCCAGAGACAGGGAGCAATTTGTCCAGGGTCACACAGCTGGTCAGCAGAACTGGGACCAGAGCCCAGGCCATCTGGTCATAGAAGCCAGGGCAGGGTGGTGGTGGGATGGGGGTGGAGGGATCGATAGAGGCACAGGTCACTGCTCACAGAGGGGGTGTCAGGTGGACAAGACAATAGTGTCAAGGTGGGGCCATGACAAGAGGTGGCTGGAGAGAGGCATCAGTGGGGGGGGGCAGGGACAACTGACCCCCAGATTCCTCCTTTCTCTGAACCCCCTTCTCTCAGTCTGGGCAACTCTTGGTTCTGAGGCCCTCACCCCTCTTTATGCCTTTTCTGGGGACAGGTGCCAGAGAGGCAGGCAGAGGTGGGAGCCCACGTCACTGGTGACCTGGGCTAGTCATGGAGGCAAGAAGACAAACAGCCTGTAACTGGGTCAAGGACCTGATGCCCCATCCTCCCTCATTCTTCCCTGGAGGTCAGACCAGGTAAGAGACAGGGCCTGCTACTCTCTTTGTCCTATAAGATCTGTGACAATCAGAGCCTCTTCCCCAGGTACCTCCCAATGCCCTCAAAGGCTGAACGGGCAAAGGAGGCAGCCAAGGCAGACTAAATGCTGAGAATACTCCCAAACTCCTATACATCCCTCAATGTCTTTTCTCCAGTGTCCCTTCCTTCAAGCAGCCTTTCCTCCAAGGTTCCTGCAGACATAGCCTGAACCATAAACCGAGTCCAGCTCTATCACATCCCTCTCCAACCCTAAGGTCCAGGGTTGAGGCACTCACTGCCCAGGAAGGAGAAACATTAGTCTCCTTTTCACTGTCTATATGACCCAGAGTTAGTTTCTCATTCTGTTCAATGGACAGAAAGGAACACTGGAGTCTTATGGAGACTGGGGGACTTATTCTTTGCCCTCATAACCAGAGATGGAAAGGGACAGGGGCAACAAGGCCAGGCCTTTCCCAGAAACCCCAGTTTGGCCCACTGGGGCTTCCTTGTCCAAAGAGGACAGCAACAGCTGAGAGGTAAACATTTGGGTCCAAGCCTTGTCAGGCAACTGTGCACTGAGAGAGGCTGTGTTCCTTTCTCAGAGTTCTTGTGGTCCTCCCATCCTGAAAGTCCAGGCCAGCAAACTAGGACATGAAACTCCAATTAAAAGTTTTCTAGGCTCAGCGCCTATAGCTCAACCGGCTAAGGCGCCAGCCACGTACACCTAAGGTGGTGGGTTCAAATCCCCAGCCCGGACTCGCCAAACCACAATGACGGCTGCAACCAAAAAATAGCCGGGCGTTGTGGCGGGCACCTGTGGTCCCAGCTACTTGGGAGGCGGAGGCAGGAGACTCGCTTGAGCCCAGGAGTTGGAGGTTGCTGTGAGCTGTAATGCCACGGCACTCTGCCCAGGGGGACAGCTTGAGGCTCTGGTCTCAAAAAAAAAAAAAAAGTTTTCTAGATGAAAGTGATTCAACAATCCTTAATGAGAATGTATCTCATCTACTACCTAACCACTTATTCCAAACTCCTATGCATCCTTCAAAGTCCTGCTTCCAATGCCTTCCCAGATTGGTTGACTTGTCCATGGTCACATGGCTATCAAGCGGCAGAACTCATATTCAACTCCAGGCCCATTTGGCACCAGCGTCAGGGCTCTTAACCTTGGGTAACTACTTTCCTCAAGCTCAGAGCATCAGAGCTCATGAACAGCTCTTCTCTAACCCCATGAAGGAAGGATTCATTTGGTTGTTCAACAAATACTTACTGAGTGCCTACTGTGTGCAAGCCCCATGCATTGTGCTGAGGACTTGGCATTTGCCTGGGCTCAACCCTCACCTAGATCATGATCTGAGGCATGTGTCAATAAGTCAACAAATATGTACTAAAATGTCAGTTGAGCAAAGTGCTCTGAGGAAATTTAAAGGAGTTTAGGGGGCCAGGGAATCCCTAAGGGAGGGTTGTTCTTTAGCTAAAAGTGGCCCAGGAAGGTCTCTTGCAGGAGATGACACTTGAATGAAGATGCGAAAGATGACAATTCAGGGTAGGAGCTTTCCAAACGCAGAAAATAGCCCATGCAAAGGCCCCAGGGTGGGTCCAGGTATACTGGAGGCACAGTGAGGAGGCTCATGTGGCTGGAGCAGAGTGAGGGGGGAGAGAAAGAGGAGGGGAGGACAGGAGGAGATAGGGCAGGTCATGCAGGGCCTTATGGGCTCCAGTGAGGAATTTGGGTAAACTGAGTCCAGAGAGTGGCCATTCCCTGCCAGAGGGACCAGTGAGTCAGCAGACTGAGCCCTGGAGTTCCTAATTTCCATCTTTGTGCCTTGGTGTCCATGGAGGATGAGAACTGAGCCAGAAAGCCTGGGAGGTAGGGAAGAGTGACGGAGTGAGGCTGTACCTTTTAGAGGCTGAGTGTTGAGCCATCAACTCTACAAAATGGGAACTGTCATCACACTCACTGTCCAGAGGAGGATACTAAGGCACCAAGCACTTAAGTCATTTACCCAAAGTCAGTCAGGAAGGAGCTGATCTAGAACTTGTCCTTGGGCCTCCTGAGCCCCTGGCCACACTCTTGGGCCCTTGAGCACATGGTCTGGGTCTAGAGCTTACAGCAGCACCCCCTCTGCACCTCCCATGCTCTCTCTGAATCCCATGTGGCTCCCTGTTCCTTGCTTAGTCACACACTTGCTATGTCCTCAGGGAGGCTAGCTCCAGCCAAAGCAGCAGCCAGGTCCTGCCTTGTCACCTTGTTTCCTGCCAACCCCCCTGCCTGAACTGTCAGGGCATGGATTTTATCTGCCTTGTTCACTGCTGCCTCACTAGATCATCAAAGAAACAATCCCCCCCTCTGTCTACGCTACCATCATTCACCCCCTACACACAAGGTATAAAGAAGGCAGGTGTCCACCCAGGTTTGGTCAAACCTGGGGAGACCCTAGACATGGCCTGGCAAGAGAGGAAAGACCAACAGAAAGACACCAGGGGGTCTGAGCCCAGGTCAGTCACCAACTGTCCCTATAGCCTGGCCCAGATCCTGGTTCACACTGAAGAAATAGTGACAGAACAAAGAGAAGGTAAATTGGAAAATGCC